AAGTATAAACTCAGTTTGTGATCTATAAAACTTGGGTAAGAATGACTTTCAATAACTACAGGGATTCAGCTAAAGGCATACTCCCAGTAGGGGCAGCCCTGTTCTCTCTTAAAGTAAGATTAGAGAGTTACTTACAAACCCCTTCAGAAAATGCTGGTCAGCTGTAGTGAAATAAAGACCACTCTCATGTGTAGCTTATAGTAGGTTGGGACAGGAGAGTTTCTTTTTTCAGCTTTCTTTCTGAGTATGCCAGAAAACAGGAAGATGTCACACTCTGTGCTCTTTCTCCTAAGGAATTGGCCTCATCTTCTTAAGCATCTGAAGTGGTCACTCTCTTACAGTATTGCTGTTCAGTTTAAGAGGTAAACTTTGCATGAAAATGAGTTTGCCCATGTTTATAGGGAGATTCTCACTGAATTGATTAGCAACCTTAACTAACAGATGTAGGCCATGATTCTGAATTTCCTTACATGTTACTAACCCCACATTATGAAAGATGACCGGTTAACATCATTGGGAATAAAGTAGACAAAAGGTGGTAGCTTCAATAATGTCTGTACACTTGGGATCCTTTAAAAAAGGGAATTGCTATGTCTGTGGTTCACCCATCCTTTTAGGAGATGCTTTATATGGGAAATGTCCTGTCTTAAATGGCTAGAAAATGTTTTTTAGACCATAGGCTGCTCTGAAGGTATTCAGGATGTAGGGCAAAAAAAAATGCAACTAATTGGAGGGAAACGTTGGTATTGAAAGCACTTGCTGCAGTCTGTGAAATCATAAAGCAGAAGGGTCCTAATGAGTACAGTAAAATGCTTTTAGAAAATGTGGAAGTTCTTATAAAAGGTAAAACGAGTACAGCATTGGTGTCCCTCTTTTCAGTTCACTTGTTAAATTACTGTCTTAACAAGGCTTGCAAAAGAGCACCATGTTCTCTTCGCCAAGCTTCATCCTGGGAAAAGTGTGGAGAGGAGGTTTGAAGAAGAGCAAACCCCAATCTGGTTTTTATTTTCTCTACAGCTGTCTTCTAGCTTTGAGTTCTGCTGGGCTGCTACAGCTGGAGTCATTTTATTGCTTTTACCCAGCATCCTTTTTCTTGTGCATACAGAAATGTTTTATTAGTCTTGGAAAAAAGTCAAAGTATGTCTTAGCAACCATAGGACAATAATTATTATATCAGCAGCTGAGAACAAACCAGGTTTCTGTTGTGCACCAGTGTAGGTTCCTTTACAGGTAGGTAGCTTATGTCAGTGTTGTGGTTGAATTATATTAAATGTGGGTAGCGTGTAATTGCTTTGGCAGTAGAAAAGAAGCAGGGATTCATGTATCTCTGTGTTTGTATATTGAATGAGATAGAGACCATAATTAACATTAATGTAGCAAGGGTTTTTTTATTTATTTTATTGTAAAATGTTTAGGCTTATTTTTCACTTGTGTTGGGCCTCTTGTTGTTGGAATTATGTTTCCTGATTATTTTTTTGTTTTGTTACTGTTTTATTAACTTTTTTTATTTTTAGGAATGGACCCATGCAAGTTCGTAGCAGCCTAAAATGGAGGGTAGATTAGTTACATCCAAAGGACGTTTTTTAAGTAGCTGCTTAAATTTGTATAATTTAGAGTTACAGATCTTTTCCATCAAGAAAGTAATCTTTGCAAAAGGAAAGTGAGACAATTTCAAATAATAAATTAAGATTGTGAACTGCAAACGTTTTTCGCTATAGTGATACTGTTCTGCATCTCTTACTTTAGTAAAAGCAATCAAATTCTTGCACACTATAGTTCTACATGGTACCTAAAACTATATAGGCCAATATGTTGCTACGGTGCAGGATAACTGTACTGCATATTCTCAGGATTGCAGGAATACTTATGTTGGCCAGCGCTTATAAAGTGGATCTGTCCAATTTAGTTTATATGCTGCTGAACTGAGTGCAATTGCTGGCTTTAGTAATGAGACCCCAACTGCAAGCTAGGTTTCCTTCAACAAGACACCGACAGATACTATCACCACAAATAGGACTGTGTCTTAGCGCCACCTGTATTGATTTTTTTTTTTATCAACAGTGTTTTCTTGACCTTGAAGAAAACTTTTCTCTGATTAAAGTTGGTGATAGAAAGCTGTCTGCCCTTCTCTATGCTGATCACTTGATTTTATTAGCTCTGTTAGAATAGCCTTCAACAGTTGCATTCTGGGAGAACAGAGCTTGTGAGAAGTCATTTTCATACAGAGAGAGCAGCATTCCCCACCTTCGATACTCTCCAAATGTGTGGATTTCGGCTCCAGGAATTTCCCAACCAGCCTGGCCAAAATCCTGAGACTCAGCATCTACGCATCTGTAAGGCACCCAGTTTGAAATTGGGCTAGGGTATAAAAGACCCCAGACACGAAATTTTTAAAAAACATGGTCTCAAGTGGATTGATTCAGTGTCAAACCAAGTTGCATATTTGTTTCTTCGTAGAACAACTTCCATTAATTGGGAGTACTTCTTCCATGCAAAGAAAATTAAGTATTAAGTAGGAATAAAATGTATAAGGTATCTGCCCAATCTTCCTTTACACAAGGCTGAACTAATTAAATGTAGGGTATGTTTTGGCCCAGTTATAAGCATGTTAGTCTCTGATATGCCAGAACTTTTTTTTAAAAAGGTACGTGCAAATCATTTAGAGGGGTTCTTCACATGGTGAACTACCCCTTCAAATCCACCACTCAGAGCACTGAAAAGGCAATATTTCCTGAAGGCAGCTATTTGTCTGTTGTGTACAGCTTTACTTCAGTGACAGTCACAAATGAAGTGTCCACGGGGCATACACACTCAGAGCATGGAGAAAGGGCTTCAGTACAGCTCTGTTGACCCTTCCAGAGACATAGCTGCAGATTCACAGAGATATTTTGTAAAATGCAAAATGGATTACACAGCCCTACAAAATAGCCTTTCTCATGGTAGAATTGATTCATAATTTATGTATTTAACTTCTCTGTTAACAGAGTGAATGCTGCTATAGAGACACTTTGATAATTGATCAACAGGTGACTTTCATGTCACTAGTTTTGTTCTATTCTGGAATGCAAGCTTGGTACCCATGTGTTCTTTTGCTGACAAAGATTTGGCTGAAGTGTCTCAGAAACTCAACAGTGTACATCTAGTGAAAAATCTTTATTGAACGCCAGGTCTAAAGCCACTTCAAATAATTGCCTTCTGGTGGTTAAGGCTGGTGACCCCAACTTATAGTCTCTTGGAATTAAAATTGAGTTTTTTTCCCTACCTATGGCATACTAGAAACCCTGCTTTATGTTTCTCAGTCTCTGCTTGGTGGCAGTTAGTTATTGACATTTTCAGCATTCCTTCCTTGGGAAATTTGAGTTCACAGCCTATCTCTCACAAGACCTCTGTTTGCTGAATGGAACTTTCTCCTCCTTTTTTTCTTCCCGCAGCCCTCCCATGTGTCCCCAAATCTGTTCTGAAAGTTCACATGCAATTTGGAGTAAAGGAATGTAGGAGAAAACTGTTCCCCCCCCCCCAGTGGGTGGGCTTTTTTATTGTGAAGTGTTAATTGGAAACCATGCTTTTTCTACTTCTCATCTGTGATCTGTAAGATGTTTGATTCCCCCCCACATTTCTTTTTTTAAATATCTTATGCCCTGTAATATTCATTAGCATGCTTGTTTAAGATGACTAGGGTTGGATATATTTGGAATATGTTGTTGACTTTCTTCCTTCTGTTCCCTTTTCTATTGTCAGTATGTATGTATGCTTCAAACATCACTGAATGTTCTCCAAATGACGTTTAGAACAAAAATAAATTACATTATCTTTGCCCATGAAGAAATTCTGTCGGTTCTTTTATTATTTATTTACATTTCTGTCTCACTTTTGTGTGAAACCTCAAGGGGGTTTGTGGGAGAGGTCTTCCCTAATTCATCTTCACATCAACCATTCTTCAAGGAAGGCTGGGTTGAGAGAAAGAGGGAGATCACCCAATGTGTTTTGTGGTCAAGAGATTATTTGAACTGGCTCTTTACCTTAAATTACATATAAAACTTTAACTGCAGAGGTTGGGTTCAATTCTGTAATCATGGATGTTGTACAACTTGAATTGATCAAAGTATTACTTTCTATTGTATTAAGTAGAGTTTCTCAGAATTTAGAAAGGCCATATTAAGTTTTGGAACCTGTTGGCCATACAGGAAATGCTTTATTCCAGATTATCATAATACCTAAAAATGTCTCATTTGTATGAAAGTGCTCGCAAGTGTACTGTGTTTCTTGAAAATGGACTTTGCCTGGTGATGTCTTACATATTAAGGCATGATGTGCATGTGCATGCATTTATACAAAAGTAGCCTAAACTCCTAAAACTATGTCTTGTCACACTCTTTTGTAGAGTTACAGTAATTATAATGGAAATGTTTGTTCTAATTACAGTGTAGCCATTGAAGTAAAAGTGATCTCTACCCCCACCCACCATATGGTTGTCCTATACTTCAGAAGTGAGACTCCTTAACTACATCATTCTACTCTACTTCTGGCCTGTTAGAACAAGGGGAGTCGATGTTCTTGATGATCAAGCAAAACAGTCATAGTGCTAATCGTGGCTTGGAAAAATGATTGATAACTCATTCTGTTCTAGAGCAGTTTTCTCTGTTGGAAATATAAGAACATTTGTGTGGTCACATACTCATATTGTGCAGCCCTGCTATTTGTAGATCTGGATGGTTGCTTCCTTGCCCCCACCTCTGATAAAGTATGTTTTGACTTACTCACTGGGCAAGTTTCTTTAAGGAGTGATATCCTCAAACCAATTTGTACTCACCAATACTTTATTTTGAAGCTACATAAATGGTGTATTTTTTAAATTACTTATGTATTAATTGGGTACTTTGAGTATCATATCCAACTTACTAACTAAAGTTCTAAACAACATTGCAGTGGATTTAATTTTATATAGGGAAAGCAAAGCAAAAAAACTAACATCATGCATTTTAATATATAATCTTTTTCAGGCAATTCCAGAAAACACATCAAGTTTGCTAATGAAAGATCAGATTTTCCGACATGAATCTCTAGCAAGCAATGATCCTCATAAAAGCTTAAGTATAAGACCCTCAGTCTTTGAAGATTTGAACACCAGAAGATCGTATTTCCACAGCCAGCCGAACCAGGTGATCCATGAAAAGCAACTTATATATTAGAATGTGTCAATAGAATACCTCTGAAATGCTACCAGAATTTTGTCTCTGTCATTGTTCCAGTTCAGACATAATGGAATAAAAGTTTCCCTGCAAAGATAGCAAAGAGTGGCAAGCCTCAGACTTGCACATCCCCATCTCTCACATGTCAGGGAAGAGACTGGAAGTTTCTGCTTTTAAACAATCATAATTCTCCCCGTGATGTGACCATTGTGAGGAACTGTTGCTTGTTTAAAAGGAGAAGCAGATGCTTTGAACTCATTCCTCTGGCTTGCACAATTAATTGATGCATTGGAGAAATTCCCCCCCCCCCAATTTCTATGACAGACATTTTTTTCCCCTTCAGCCAGCCTGTCATCTCACCAATGTCATGGTCAGCTTTCTACCTGGGCAGTTAGCAGCTTGCCAACTCCCAGTTAGGAAAGTCCTCTTTGCAATCATTGTTGATAATAATTCATATTTTTGTAATGCCTCTGTAAATTCACTTGCTGGAACAAAGAGACATTTTGATGTACAAGAAGGGGTATTTCTAAAGTCAATGATACTGTGAGACTTCCTTTCAAATATCAGCACCAAGGGTCAGTAACAACCATTTAGAGTTACTAACAAGTAAAGCCATGAGGCTCATGATTTTTATCGAAGCTTTCTTTGATTTTAGGCTGAGAGAACTAAAATGCTTGGTTTTAAGCTGATAAGCAGTCTTTTCCAATGCCAAAACAAACTTGAGAACCTAAAGTCTTTAAAGATAAGGATATATTTCCATTCTTGGGCTTTGTTTCATTTCTCTTTCATGTGCTTGTGTCCAGGCATGGTGGTAGTATCTCACACATTGTTTTTTCAAATTGAGTTCATTCAAATATAGAGAAACTGTCTATGTTCATGGGTGAAGATCCTACTTGCATACTTCCATAGGTATTTGAACAAACCAGTGTTTGTCAAAATACACTGGTTATATGATTCTGAACAGCATTGTAAGCCAGTTTTCATCCATGAACTGAATGGTCCTTTTCTTACTGTGCACACTGATTTCCACAGTAATGACTGGACTACTCCATAATTAAAATTCAGAACTATCTATAACAACACTTTTGGTTTGCATGCCCTGCTTTAATTGAGAATGGATCTTTAATTAGATTCCAAAGAATTCCCTATTTAGCTTGCTCATTATGTAGAGAGTTTTAACCATTTGGCAAGAGTGACCAAATGCAATTTTCATTAGTTTGAGCCAAGTAAGTCATCATGAATCTCAAATATTCCAACATAAGTTTGCTGTGCCCTATAATGGAGCATCTTGTCTTTGCCCTTGGCAGGGATGGGAGAGGGTTGTTTGCTTTTTAATCTTTGCTCATAAACTAGAACTTTATAGCAAACTTATTTAGTGAAAGATGCTTCTGTCATCACCAGCCAATCCCTTAGAAGGCTATGGAAAAGTTATTTCTGTCTCGGTTTTGTGGATTTCCATTGGATGCCAGCAAAGCGAACAACTTCTTTCGTGCTGGCTACGGTTCCTACCACAAGTGTTAATGTATTTATTGAGCAAGTACTTCAAGTAATCAAGGTTTTTTTCTTCTTCTAAAAGCATTTTGAAATAATTCATGCCTGAGTTGCCAGGTTACTTTTACACCTGTACAAAGCCTTACCTCCTTTGCAACATGATTTAAAGCTCATGTTCACAAGGAATGTTGTAGGCTTAGCTCAACATGAATCACTTAAGACCAACTTTCTTTCAGCCTTCCTAATTTGGCAGTGGATGCTTGAAATTGTAGTGCTACAAATTTAGAAGGCATCAAACTGGAAAAATAAAAAACTTCTGAATCCTCTCATGTTTGACAATGTGTGCTTCAAAATTATTCACAAGTTAAAACAAAATTGGGAGTTCCAACAAAATTAGATAGTTTCTTTCACTGAATTAGTTTTTTGCTGACAGTCTTTCAGACCTCAGATATTGAGCATGCACAAGACCTGCAAGGTGGGGGAAAGGAAGTGCTGATATACAGGCAGCTTCCACTCACACAAAACTGGATTCTGCCTTCATTCTTAAGAAATTGTGCTTCTTGCCTGTGCCTAAATCACATGTACATATAACTTGACTGTTAATTGTTCTGTGTGTACACAGTTACTGAATTTGCATTTTTCTCTAACTTCATTCTTTTTGTTTATTTTTGTTTATTGAGAAGATTTCCTATTCCAGTTCAAAAGAATATAACAGAAAAAGCAGTTAATAGCCTTAAAATAACAGCAATAGATAAAATAATTATTGAACATAATAATAAAATCATTGGAATGCAGAGCGGACCTTAAAAAGCAAGAGAGAAACCATATGGATATTTTTGGAAAGATCATTCCAGAGGTATCACAGAAACAGTCTGTTACATGCTCTTCACCCAACCTGACCACTTTCCAAGCAGGATCTTGGGTGTTGTAGCATAGCTTCATTTCAAATCATCAATACCAAATCACAGATTGGGTCCAGACATGAATAGGTTATCTGTAATAATTAGAACAGAAAAATATACATGCAGACACGTGCAACAGCTGAAATTTATGCTCCTTTTTAAGGACAGCCTCATATACAGTGCAATACTGTGATTCACCAGGGATGTAACCAGAATCATCAATGTCAACCAGTGCAATTAAATTCATTAAATAAGACTACAATTGACAAGGAGCCCAAACTGATAAATGCCATTGATGATACCTCCTCTTCCAACAAAAAGAGCCAAGTCCAGGAATACTTCCCAATTGTACACTTGGGCCTTTAAGGGAAATGCAAATGCGTCAGGTCTAAATGTAAATTGTTATATGCAGCTATCCTGGCTGATATCACTTCTGATTAAGCTTCAGATTATTCACCCTTCTTTCTTACATTCATATTTCCAGATACTTGTTGGGGGTTATCCTTCAGTTTAAAATAAGGTTAGAACTGTATGCCATCCGTAGCTTGATGCTATCCCAATCTAATCCCTGGATGCCTTCAGTAGGGGTTTCATACGAATGTTAAAAAATGTTACTGTATTTTGGAATCATCACCTTCTTGTTACTTTTGAATATTTACACATGCCCTTATTTTAAAGTGTTTTGTGTGAGAGAGAATGTGAACTTAATATAGGGGTTGTCAGCACTGCAGATACTTTATATGCAGTGCTTGGTTATTTGGACTGTTGAATAAACATTAAATATGTCAGATATATTCAATAAATTGTGCAGTTTAAGAAAAATGACTCTCCTGAGAAATAAAGTGTTGAGACTTGAAACTTTGCTTATTTGAAATGACATGCACAGTCATCAGTGTGGCGACATGTAATATTAAGGGCCCTTCTGTGTCCCCTCCTCTTTTGCAGATACCCCAGAAACCCGTCAGGAGCGTCACTTTTCAGGATGAAGAAGAAATTGTTCGAATAAACCCCCGTGATATTTTAATACGTCGCTATGCAGATTATAGACATCCTGATATGTGGAAAACTGACTTGGATAGGGATGAAATAGATTCCTCGCTGCACTGCCCTAAAGCAGACCATAAAAAGTCTGACTATCTGTACCCGTCTGGAGATGGACCGAAACTGAATTCCCTAAAAGATTCAAAGAGTTCTGTGGTACTTAAAACACAGCCTCCTTCTATCAAATTAAAAAAATCGAAAAAAAGGAAAGAGGATGGTGAGCGCTCTCGCTGCATATACTGCCAGGAGAGGTTTAACCATGAAGAGAACGGCCGGGGCAAATGCCAGGATGCTCCAGACCCGATTAGAAGATGCATCTACCAGGTTAGCTGCATGCTGTGTGCCGAGAGCATGCTCTATCACTGCATGTCGGACTCTGAGGGGGATTTCTCTGACCCCTGCTCCTGCGACACTAGTGATGACAAGTTCTGCTTACGATGGCTTGCCCTCATCACTTTGTCGTTCATTGCGCCATGTATGTGCTGCTACCTCCCACTGAGAGCGTGCCACCACTGTGGTGAAATCTGTGGATGCTGTGGAGGGAAACATAAAGCTGCAGGATGAAACAGTCCAGTGGAAAAATTGGCTGACGAGTCTTTATCGTTGGGAAGTATCTAACTCATGGAAGCGCTTGGCAAGCAGAAGGGAAAACCCACCCTGTAGGAAAGGCCTATTGCGGAAGACGTGTCAGAACTGTTGCATTGGACAAATGCAAGCCATGCCTAATCTGCTTTTTAAGCGCATGGAGCAAGCGGCAAAGGAGTTCTTGCGAAATGAAAGCCTTTTCTTCCAATTGGTATTGGAAAGAAGTATAAACTGCAGTCCATACTTCAGCACTCTGTACATTTTGTGCTATAGGTGATGGGGGGGGCGCTCTTTTGAAATAATCCATTTGGCAGAAAAATTAACTAAACCTGCACTAGCGAAAGCTGATTTAAAACTAAAGGAAGTTAATATCTTGGCAGAGATGAGAAATTAAATTGATTTTCAGTGCAACTAAATTACTTATAAATAGTTTTGGGAAACAGTTTTATGTACAAATAACAAATGTTTATATTTAACAAAATATACGGTACAAATTGTTAAATCTTTCTTCCACTTTCCAGTTCAGCAGTTATGGACCATGTTTTCCAGGCACATTCCGTGATAGTATTTCTCAGTTTTAAATACCTAGTATTTTTATTCAGATCGAGAAATCAATATTTTCAGTCTTATTTCCCTTCAACTACATTTTTGTATTAATTTTCTTCTGTACATTCTGGTAATCTGAAAGCCTTTAAGTATTAATTATTGTAGTCTGATGACCAATGTTTTGTTAAGCACAGATATAATTGTCTAATGCTCTTATGAGAACATAACATTTATTTTTATATATAAATAACTCTAATTTCAGTGTAATGGCAAGATCCCCCCCCCCCACTTTTCTCACAGCCAGCAGATTTTCTTTTAGGATTTTCTCCTAAAAATGTTGATGACAGATGTTTGGAAAAAGAAAATTACCACTTGGAAATTGTTTAAAATACATACTTATGACTTTTTCAACTTGGTGCCAGTTATTTCTTTAAACTATGTTTCCATTATTTACTTTTATTTGACCTACTACAAGTTAAACGTATGCTATATGACAAACTGTAGTCCAGGTAGGAAAAGAAAGTGAATTTCTTGTTGAATGAAAATGGATTTTATTTTGTCTTTGAGTTGTAGCATATTAATGAATATGTTTAACTTAACATTTGGCTGTGTGTTCTAAATGCCATTTCTGGTAATTCCTAAATGTTATCTATCATATGGCATAATAACATAATTAAGCATAGAGGTTTTTTATTAATAAAAGTTTAAAGCAGTGGAGCAGTCATTCATTCAAGAAAGTTAAAGGGTGTGGAGGAGGGAGTAAAATATGTCTTTAATATGTTTTTGGATTAAAATTAAAATTTCACACTTTTTAACATCTCTGCTTCTTCAGAGAAATATACATATTTTCTTCTTAGGATCATGTTTCATCATACAATACCCCTTCCACTATACATTCTACTTTTTTCAGAGCATAGACATCAAAACTGAACAATTGTATATAACACTATTTGTAAAATACCTTTTTAAAAGGACATTTATATTTATATGACAGCTTGAACTGACGACATTGTGTACATAGATCATCTTGAAGTATTATTTCACATTGAAAAGAAGAGAAATATATTGATAACTATAGAAGTTAAGAGCTTCTTTCTAGTTTTGTACTTTTATCTACAATAAATAACCTAAGTCAGCAAATGTGACCCTTTAGCAGCAGTCTCCTTTCCTGCAATTATTTTGTATCTTTGAAAACTGCTGCATAGGATGTCTTTCATGCTTCATATGGTCAGCTAAATTTGGTTGCCTAGGCAGACTGTTAACTTTTTTCCCCGAGGGGGGGGGGGGGGGGACACCTAACTTTTATTTCATTGGTGACATGAGAACTGCTTCTTGTGAATAGCAATTATTAAAACATTCTGTTTTTTATTAAAGTGGGGCATGGCAACAAACAGCGAAGAGAAGAACTTGCTGGCTGAACAAGAAAGTGCTTTGGACCTCTGCATGTATGTACGCACACATACATATTTAGATATTTTAGGAAACAGCAAGTCTAACTATTTCTGATGAGCACTAATCAACATAATACATCTCCTGGTTCCCGTAGTGCTTTTCACATGGAATTCTATACGCTTTTTCTGAATATGTGCATTGCTATTTTCAGTGGGTATTTAAACACTTCACTGGTAAACATATATTATCCTTTACTATTGAATAAATAATACTACTACGTGGGGAAGGCATTTAAATATAATTCCAGATACTAGGATTTCAGGTTCTTTTCCCCCAGTAGCGGGGAAACAGCATTGATCCAATATCATCATGCATTGGGTGATGTCACCCATGTTTCTATTCTTTAGACTTCTTTCTGCAGAAGAGCTTCTCAACTAGGCATGACCAACTTACAAACCTAACAAGCTTAATAAAGATAAAGAATAAGGCGATTGGTTCATCCCTTTCCATACATCTTTTCAAGCCTGGCCATTGTTCTGATCCAGCCTGGCTTCCAGAGATTCTGTATATATTTGGTTTTTAAAAACTGGAGATGCCGGGATTTAATTTAGGACTGAAGCAAATCCCTTCTTCCTAGAATAAGCCACTGGATTTTAATTTAACAATATACCGACACTCCTATCAATTGTTTAATAATGTTTAATCATACATTTCAGTGGGTGTTTACGTTGGATGCATTTCTTGTCCATGTTTTTATTTTTCAAGCTGCTTTCTCCAGAAAAGGAAGATTTTACATTTTACCAATCAGTTCAGGTGCTTCTTAATAGATGAAGTCACCTCTTGTATAGGTTTTGAAAAATCACTGCATAATGTTTTATTTCCAGGCCTGGGAGAGTTCTTACCTGGGTTAATTCTGCATGAAAACAAACAGCTCTATTCCTTGGGCACCACCTGCTGGACAAACATGATTTAGAAATTGTGACCTGAGTCATACAGCCCTTTAAGCATTAATTTGGTATAATCTTCCACCAGGTAGGCAGAAAAGATGCCAGGATCTGCTGATAAATCTGGAGGTAATATGCAGCAGATCAGCAAGAATTGCCAGTTTCAAACAGTTCAACAGTTGTGACAAAACTCCCTTTCCTGCTAAATTAGGATACTGAAAGAAAGAAACTGCAAGAGGGTGGGAGGGAGCGAAACAGTAGCTTTATGAGTCATACAGTTTGCTTGCAAGCTCCAGCTGGTTTTACTTGGAAGATCTTGGGGGCTCTAGAGAAATGAAATAGACAAGCCTAAAGTCAATATAATATTGATCTATAATGTACCAGGTCACAAACTCTAGACTTGTCTATAGTAGATACTTTCTGGCATTTGGCTCTACAGTGAAGAACTGTGGAGAAGATACGTAGATTCTTCCTATTCAGCATTTGCAATTTAATACTTTCTGTTCTAATTCAGTGGTAAAGAAATGTCATTCTGGAAGGGGAATATTAAACTATTCTTAGTATTCCATATTTATGAAGTATTAATAGTTTTTTAAAAAAAATATTCAAACATAGTTGTGCTTCAAGAAAAATAGTTATGGACTAACCTTTAAAAGTTAAGACTGTTTTTCTCTGAAACAGTTCTCTGAGACCAATATCTTCTTTAACTGACCTTGTCCCTATTTCCCCCCAAAACCTGATCTGTGTGGAGGAGGAGAGTTTTTTCCTTCTCTTATCAGTCAAGACCTGGGAAGACTGAATGCTGCTGGAAGAGAGTCCCCCAATAATAGATAGGTACATCCCAACTCCTTCATACCATTTAAAAATAAGTAGCTCAGAACGTTATTTCCTTTGCATGTTTCTTGGAAGGGATCACAGAAATCTTGTAAACCCTCCTTTAAAACCAAGGATGAATTTTCATACAAATCCAGCCTATAAGGATTTAACCTCTGAACCAGAGTATTTATGCAAGGTTGGAGAGAGCCAAGTTGGAACATAAGATAAAAACAACTGGGAAACATCTAAAATATCCTTCCCCAATCCAGCGTCCTCCAAAGACTCTGCTGGCAAGTCCAATACATCTGGAGGTCATGAAGTCGGAGAAGGCTGACTTCAGAATACAAGGATAGAACAATTCTTATTCGGCTTGGTTCCTGATTTTATCTTCATCCACAGTAGCTATTTCAGAAGACATTGAGATAGTTCCCATTTTTTGTTCCTTCTAAATTTTTTGCAGGTCATTTTTTTTTTTTTTGCCTTTGCAGAAGAAAATCTTAACTCCCATTTGAATAGCACACAATGTTAATTTATTCTCCAAAGAACATAAAACTACAGTTCATAAACTTCAGTTAAGTACTATGAAGACCACAAGTGGATGGTTAAAAATGTCCATATGCAGTTTAGTGCACTGATTAAATGCCACTTAAATAGCATTAAATGGCATTTCCCCCCCCCCAAATGCTTAATTTCAATAGTTGTAAAAACAGTAAAAGATCTAGTGAAAGAACTTTATATTGCGAACTGCAGTGTAACCTGTATATAAAGTTTTCCCCCTTTTTATTTGTGGATTTTATTTTGCTTAATGCCATTTGCTTTTCGCCCTATTGTTCTCCGAAAGTGCCTCACTTATAGATTATTTTCATTTAAAATTTGCTATATCTTTCTACTAAACAATGTAGATTTTAGTTTCAATTCCATGCCATAGATGTATTTCTTTATGTATAAAAATATAACTGGCTATCCTGGAGTACATAATGTAAATACAAATGAGTTTAACTGTTTTGTTACTACACCTGTTGTAAGTTGACATACTGGATAACAACATAAAACAGTTTTACATTTCAATGTTTTCTGCAATTATCTGAATAAAACTATTATGACATTAAACAGAGTGAAGTCATGGTTCTTTGCATTTAATTTTGGGGACTGTCCTGAGTAGGATATAAGGAAATACTGCAGAAAATTGTTAGTATTTTTTAGCATTTCCATCAAATTGGCAAGATGAGTCTGCTTCCTTCTGCAAGGCAGTATTTATATAATGCCTGTAAAACAAGTTTTTTACATGCTTATACCGCGGAAGCACACAATGCTATAATTCAAAAATCCAAACCATGATGAAAAACTCTGAAGCCATGATACAAAGGCAGCTATATAAAGCCAAGCAGATAAAATGCAGATTTTTTTTTTTTAAGCTAAAGACAGCCAAAGATGAATTTAAAGGTCCTGGAAAAACAAAAACGTGTTAACTTAGTGATAAAAAGATAGCAACACTAAGTAGGTTCCTGGGGGAAAATTCCATGAGCAAGGAGGTACTGCTTAAAAGGATTGCTCAAATAGTCCATGCTTAAGAACAATGTAGCACATGGAGAAATATGACTTCTGTAGCTAAGCAGACATGAATGAAGCCATTCCATTGGTACTGAGGTTCCAAGGCATAAAAAACACTGTAATTCAAAACTGATAACTGGTCTTGGAAATGAATGTGAAACTAGTGAGAACACACTAATATCTTCAAACCACTATCCCAAGTTACTACCACCTGGGATGGTCAAAACAGACATGAAAGAGGGAAGAGGACCCAGTTGAGAAGAAATTGGTTTTATCTCTGGATGTAGAGGCAACCAGTTTATCTAATGTGAACTGTGAAAACGTTTGTCCATCTTTAAAGTACAAGGAATCAGACAGATGAAACATGCAGTGAGGTACTGCTGAATAAAATTATCCATGCCTGTAGCAAAAGGATATCAGAAAACTCACCAGATGTCCCTTGGCAGCATGCTCCAAGGATAGAAGAGCCACCAAGAAAACCTTCATTCAATTCCCATCAACCATTTCTCTGATGGTAGAGAAAGGGAGAAAGATCTTAAAGCCCAGATAGGCCTGGAAGGGAGAATAGGCCAAAGAAAGTTTGCTATGATGAGTTCTTACAAACTTAAACCATTGTTTGCATTGATAATGGAGATGCTTCTCAAAGATGAAATATTTTTGTTCTCTGCAGAACACTGCAGTTGTCATATTCCCTATTGATTTAGGAGTCATCTTCACTGAATTCAACTGGACTCACATCTCAGTAGACAGAATTCTGCAGAAGTGTTTCTCAGTTCTTTTAGTTTAATTCCAATCAAAGAATGGGATGCAGGGCAAAAGGGTTGAGGAAGAGATGTCTTTTCTGTGTCTAAGTCACAAGTAGGAAAAGGGGAAGAGATTAACAAGAAGTTCAAGAATTCTTTTATGCTACCATCTGGGTTCTGTGTGTTAAACAGGTAAGACTTTTCAAAGTCACAGAGACCATGCTTATCAGGAGAGCTTGCCAAATATTCAGCTTTCTGTTAATGTTTAAATGCATAAAAAGCATATATTAGCAAATACCTGCAGTTTTTTATTTATTAAATTAATATATCCTGCCTTTCTCCTGATGACAGTATTATGTGTCTGAAGCATATAAAAGGTCCTTTTCGGAAGTTACGTATTACATGCGTCTCAAGCATTTACACCTCTTCTTTATTGTATGAAAATTAATGTAATTAATGATGAAATGTAAATGCCGTTGAAACGCAAATTCCTTTGAAAAGAAATTAAGAGCTGTAGTGGGGAGCAACTGGCCCTTTAAATCTCAAGCCAGCCTGATGGGTCCAGAGGGAGTCACCTGTCCCCTGAGGGCCAATAAAAGAAAAAAAGACGAGGTCTGTCAAGTTTGGGGTAGAGTTTTGGGGGTCTTTTGATGAGAGAATTGGCTGGAGTCTTGGATGAGGGAGTGACCTCAGGCAAGACAGAAAGTTATTTAGCTATATGTCAGGTTTAGCC